TTTTTGACAAACCCAGACCTCTCTCTTAGCAAGCCTAGTAACATTCTCAACAAAAACTTAATAAGTACAGCTTTATAAGGAAAATCCATATTGAAGACCACAGAAGACGAAAACCCAGGAAGACGCTTTCCTTACCTAACATTTCTTTTTCATTGTCTTCTTTTGATTTTATCTGTTTGTCTTCTTTCAAGACTCGCTGTAAAAGAATGGCGTAGAAACTGCCCCAGATTCCTAAAGACGAGAAACATTCAAATGTCAACTATTCGCCTCTCAGTTCAAGAACGTAAAGACGTAAACCACGATGCGACCATCTATTCGAGAGTCTGCAATGGCAATTTGTATAAATGTGACGAGTGGGTCATCCTACAAGCAGTCCGGTCCTTACTGGAGCAGGGCCCCAGGAACCCAGGAAGACTGGCTCCCAATTTTCTTTCGCGCCTCTTCCCTAATCTTGGCGCGGCCATTTCTAATTTTCGACATTTTAACTTCTTGTGTGGGACTGGTCGTAATCTGCAAATGAGCCTTCTGTCTGTTATAAGGTTATAGCTGTTTGCCAACCGTGAGTCTAGACCATAATAGCCAGGTCAAATCAACTTACCTTGCAGATAGTAGAGAGGAGATTCTGGGAATTTCTCGATAAGTTTTCCCCAAAAGAATTTGCTTCCAAACAGTTCAGTCCTCATGAATGTGCCATATTTATCCATTCCCATCTCATACGGAGTGAACTCCACCCATTCTGAAGTAAAAGAATTAAAAATTACATCTTGCACGTGAAATAAGTCTGAGGTCAATAACTGTTGTCTCATCTGCAAGAGACTGTGCTGATACGTCTCGTTTGGAGTTAATAGCGGTGTATATTGGCATGGGGACGGCTGCATCTCGGACTTTCTCTTGTTGATGACTCAGCTTTACTGAATTCTTTCTCTGTTTAACAAAATAAACAGAACATACTGTTTAATAAAAGTTCCTTGAATGTTTTGCAGCTAATAAGGCGAATGAAACTGAAATTAAAACTGATTCGAGCGGTGAACCGTCAACTATTAGTAAAGCCAGTGACATCTGAGAAGATACAGGCGTACTAATAGAAAGACATACATATTCCTATTATAGCTGTGCATTCGATTGTTATTATCATTAGTTTGTACATCAAGGCAACTCTCAACTTATTTTTTGTTCCCCACCCGCTAACTGAACACCCTGAGATTTCTAAGAGGACTTCTTAGTTTAGCTAACCGGCCCCAACAGACTCTCTCCAACACAATGGCCATAAAAATCTGTCAAGCTGACAGGTTGGCCTCTCGCCCCAACAATTCCCTATGACCCATTGATATTTCGGGGTGGAGAGTGGCACAGCTAACGTAAGAGTAATCTCGGCTAGTGGCGCTTGTGAAACCGGATGCCTGGATCCGAGTGCAAACCATTGGACCGCAACTTCTAGACACGAAGTTACGGG